CCCCAAAACCCCAAAACCCCAAAACCCCAAAACCCCTAGATTTCCAAAATTATTGATAATCACTAACCGAGAGATTAATAATACTTTTATTCCCTAAACAAGAGTTGATTTTCAACAAGTCATCATTTCCTTCTATATATGAGATCAGTGAACTACTCTCGCTTTTATTTAGGGAACTGTCTGGATTAAGGGTGTTCTTTTGAATTACGCAGCTCGACTTGTCCTTCCACTCTTTGTAATCAGAGGTTTTTGTATTTTTGATCAAACTCTTCATTGCCTGTGGGAAAGAGGTCTTTACATTATTCTTCTCTCTTCTGTATTTACATCTGGGATCGTAATTTGTGATAGATTTCACCTTGATCTTTGAGTGCTTCTTTGAACCAATGAATTTTCTAGACTCGTAGAGGTAGCCCTTTTGGTTCCTTTTCTTTGGAATAATGCCTAAATTGTTAGAAAATATATACTAAGCTTTGTCAATGATTTTAAAATCGAAGAAAGGCTTTTCTGAGGAGATTCAGATCCTTTGTCGCTACTTTTAATAGGACTCTGAACTTTCTTAACCTTTCCCAAACCTTTTGAAGAGTTCAAGTTCTTAACATTTGAAATTGGTAAGATATTATTAGCTTGATTATCGGCACCTTGCGACCTTTGGTAACGAAAAGAATTTGAGAATGACTTTCTCATTCTTTGCTCTGAAGAATAGATCTTTTCTAATTCTTTAACTCTAGAATGGCTTTGTCTCGACTTCATGATCCTTAAAGTTCTTTCATCAGGTAAGGTTTTTATTGCTGAATCGTTGTCATCGCATTTCCTTTAGATTTCAATGAAGAAGTTTTAAGGTGGATGTCCTTATGAACTACCTGATGCTTATAAGACTTCTTAGACAATTCTTGAATAAATGTCTTGGAATCATTATTTAAAAATTCGTTCTCATCTATTCCTGTCAATTTTAAATTTTACTTGTATAAAATTGGAAATCATAATCTGTATCTTCACGAGCAATTGATTTATCAACCATCTGAGAGCCATTTATATTAACTTCACTCTCATTAAGATACCTGTTCAAAAATGTATGCATTTTGCTAAGCTTGCTGGCATCCTCCTTCTCTATCATATATTTCCTGTACCTAATCTATTAGACAAATTTCATACTTATTATTAAAACTCTGATGCAATTTAGTGTGGGTATTGACTAGCCTATCTTTAGTCCTATACATTTATGATAAAACATCCTCGGGAGTGTGGAAAGTGTTCCCTTCAATAATTTGAAATAGGTGTGAGCTAAGCTCTTGCTGTTTATTACTATGATGAATTACAACCCTGACTCTCATCCTTAAAGTGTTGGCCTGAGAGCTACTAGGTTCAGAGCAATATAATAATTATTTTGCTTTGAAAGCGATGGAAGGTAAACTTACATAGTATTTCCCTTCTTGTTGATGTTCACAGGGCTATTATCAGTACTCTGTTTTATCCTGGAATCTAAATAAACCATTAAGTTATCTTCCTTAAATTCAGCTTATCTTTGATTTAAATAGATTTAGTACAAATTTTACATAACCCCAAATTATTTCAAATGCTATTCAAGCAAATCTCTAAGAACTAAAATACCACATTTCCAAAATCTTAGTCTACATCAAAACCAGCCCTTCTCCCTTACTCTTAAACACACTACTTTGCATGTTTTGATGACTCAACTTCACCTCAATACTCCTAAACTCTCATTAACTCAATTCACTTCTGTTGCCTTCCCTCCTTTTGAGGTTGAGGAGGATGTTGAAGGATAGGTAAAGAGTGGGTTCTTGTTGGATTTAGAGTCTGGATGAACATTTTTAGATTAATTTTTACAATTTTTTTAGGCTTTGGAGGGGTTTTGGGGTTTTGGGGTTTTGGGGTTTTGGGG